CCAATCGCCCGGGGATAGAGCATCGCCTGTATTTCTTCATCTGTCGCAGGAATGGTAGATTCTGAATCCGCGGGTGTCCCCGCCATGCCAAAATCTCCTTCAGCGGGCATGTGGAAGTTGTCGACAAACTCAAGATCTGCAGGTTGCCCCGCGATGGGTTTACCCGGCCATTCTGCCAAATCGATATCGTCGTGGCCAGTGAGCACCTCTTCGAACAGCCCGTCGGCGTAATTCTCGAGTGTCATGCTGGCACTTAAATGTCTGGCAACCATGAAATTAACAATTGTGGCTGAGCCATCGGCGGGGTCGGCTAAAAGTGACGCCCAATCAACAAACTGCATGTCGGAGTCTGTTTGGGCCAGATGCATTGACGGACCCCTGCCCCTTCCATCACCTCGGGGGCACTCGCGTCGGGAATGTTGTGCACTGTGGCATATGTCGCACTCCATTGTTTTACCGTTGGCATCCTCTGGGTTTCCCCGCCGCCCCTTGCCCTTGCCTGATGTATGCCTGCGGTTTCTGTCAGCACCTCAAACCATTTCTTCGTGCTGAGGCCCAGTGAGATACGCTAAGAATGCTATTGTGCCTCTGCCATGCAATCGCCGACGCTTACCTTTACCTGCACTTCGACCTTTGCCTTTTCCTTCAAATGATATTCGTGCGATGCGCCTTGCCTTTCGGTCTAGTTTCTGCGTGGATCTCCGCCAGCGACGCCTGCGTTTTTGATAGCCTAAAAAAACCATTGAGCTTATTGCTCTTCAGCGAGGTATGCAAGCATATCGGAGTAATCCAGGGCGGTAGCTTCGTCATCTGAAGACGCATCCGCATCAGCACCGGAGTCGAAGTCGGACTCGGCGGCTTGCCCCGATGAGCCCATCAGGGTCATGGCTTGCACGGGGGAGACCGCGTCGGGCGGTCCCCTAGGTCTGGCCCAGGAGTCTTGCGACCCCGAAGTCGTTCCACCATTCTGAACCAGCAGTGTAGTGGTCTCAGTTGGTTGTGGATCATCATTCCAGACGTTGTTGCCCTGCGTTGGCCTCCACGTTGAAAGTCTCGGTTCGGTAACCGCGACTAAGAATGCCACCAATATTGCAGGGGGCTCTCTCAGCAATGTGAGCATATGACCTCATGCGTTCATGTAGAGCGTCAGATTGTTGTTGATCTCTCGGCATATGGTGGTTCAGAGGCTGCAGGAGTTGTTGTGCACGCGATCTCCACACTCCAAGGGCTCTGAATATAATCACCGTCAGGATTTGGAAGTTGGGGATGTTGAAGCCGGCTGTTTCAGATTCGTAGCGGGCTATCTCAAACCGTGCTAATGTCTGGTCGATGCGTTCACCCGCATGGACTCGGAAATCAATAAGAGCCGTGCCAGAGTTGAGTTGGCGCTCCTCTTCTCAGTTTTCGAACTTCGTGCTTAAGAAGAACATAGTGTAGGTGACGCCGTCGGTGTGGCGGCCAACTATGTTGACGCCAAAATTAATAACTGCTGGAGGGATTATCATGGCTATGGTCCGTGCGAGACCTCCCAAACCTCGCTGCAGAGCTGCAGCCTGCTGGGACGGCGTCATATTGCCTGTGGTCACATTCACATTGATCCAGGCATGTACTTCGCGGGCGATTTCGCGAAAAGGTACTTGACCGGCTGGGTCCCCATGAAGGCCGGTCGTTCTCGCGTCGTCTCCGCCACGCATCTGTCCTACCGCACACCCAGTAGCGACCCATGTGAACCCAAAGATAGTAACACCAATCCAATGGCCTCGTAGGTCGTAGTCGGATGTAGTCGGTTGGGACTTCTGTTGTTTAGTCGTAAGTATGCGTGGGGTCCGAGGCGGCAGTAGTTCGTATCGCATGTTTCCGTACATAATATCTTCGGAAACGCTTCCACTTGGAGTAAGTGGGTGGACTTCAGGAGTGTAGTAGCGCAGGGAGGTAATATGTATGTAAGAGACCTCTACTTGGACAGATGCTGCAAGTATCCTTGCGGTACTGCATAGTTATGTACATTCCTCCGTGCAAACCCACTGCGCCCTGATGCCCCACCATGTCCGTAGTCCACCAGATAGTGCCGTGGATGGTGAGGAGTAGAGCAAGAACTGGCCACCATAGGCCAGCTCCGCTGCCAAGTTTGAAGGGGATTGGGAGGCCCAGCCAGCAGCTTCGCCTTAGGCGAAGCCAAGCTCCAGTTCTGTTGTACCGTAGTAGCGATAGTCCCAGTAGGAGAGAATGTGCCATTTCAAGCAGCAGGAATATCCTTTTGGTCTCGATAGCGACTGTGTGCTTCGCAATGATGCACAATCATATTTGGGCGGGCGGCCGGCCGCTTGAGCCGACGCGGCCGCGGGTGCACGCTCGCTTCCATTCCTTACGTCCCTCAGCTCGCTTCAAAGTGACCCCCAACAAAAATCAACGAACTTCCGAACAATTAGAAATGAGCAATGTGTACACAACCCCAGGGCGCAGGATGGCCCTGGCCAAGCACGGGGCTCGTGTACAGCTGCCCCTTGCGGGTAAAAAGCGCGCTTGACGGACTACCGCAATCCGCCTCCGCCCGCGTAGCCCGTTTGGGCTTGAGCTGGGTCAGCATCAAATTACGACCTTGTCCCATGCGAAAATGTGAGCTTGGGGGATAAAACAAAAAACCTGCATCCACGTAACTGTTGTAGGGTTCAAGCTTCGGGGCCGTAGACAGTGAAGGCAACCAATGCCATCACGAGGCTGCGAACGAGTGCGACATGCGACGAGGTGGATTCAGAACGAATCGCCCTCCGTCCGTGCAGCTGGCCATCGGAAGCTTTAGACCAAGACATTGTGGGAGAGGATTGGACATGTTGGGCGTATTGGATGGGGGGCCCGTCTGAAGCAGAACTTCCTGCCTGGCCACAAAAAGCCAGGTGGTGCGACGTCGGCAGGTTGAGGGGTTGACGTAGTACCTGTTAGAGGGGAGAGGGTTGGCCATGAGTACCATATGGTGCGTCACCTGTTTTTTTGGGTATGGGGGAACGAGGGCGGGTATGAGTGTGAGACAGGCTCGCATCTGGTTATCTTTCCACCCCAGTCCCCCTCCTCCCCCTCCTCCCTCCTCCCCCTCCCCCCATCCTCATCCTGGTGCTCATTCTCCCTCTGTCTGCTCCTCTCTGTCCTCTTCCTGCAGCAGCTCTGGCTCCTCCTACTGCTCATCTTGTTGCTGCTCATGCGATTGATCCTCCCCATCCTCCTTCTCGTTTGCCTCCCCATCCTTTGCAATCGCGACCCCAGAGATTGGCGCGGACCTCCGACACTTTATCACGCATTGGCGATGCATCGGCGACGTCGGCGATGCATTGGTGACATCGGCGCGGATATATTTAGTCTCCGAATCGAGCCGCATCGCTCGCCGATGCGGCGCGATCCTCCGACCCCATCTGCTCGGACAGAATCTGGGAAAACTGCGCTCATCCCTCCCTCAGACTCTCCTGGTCCTGCATGCTGCGTTCAACCTTCCTTGTTCCTTCCCCTCCTCCACATGCTGATGCTGATCATCCTCCGCCTCACTCCTGCTCCTCCTGCTCCTGCCTCGCCCTTCCTCCTCCCTCCCCCCTGCACCCCTTCCCATCTGAGTCAGAAGGGAAAAGGTGCACTGACATCATCCACGTCTTCCGCGTAGTCTGCCATCCTCCGCTTCTTGATCCTCGCTTCCCTCCTCGTCCCGATGCTGTCTGTGCGGCTTCGGGAACGCCCCGCCCGTGGGGGGACAAAACAATGCCCATACGGCTACTCCCCGGACTCTCCCGGATTGGCAATCTGGGAGACGTCCGAACGCACTCTGCGTTCGGACCAGAATTTCCGGGCGAATCCAGCCGGGGCGACCATGGCCTCCCGGGAGTCCCCCAAAAAGGCGGAGACGAAGCCAGGGTACAGTCAAAGCGTGTATTATGGACGGGTGGTGAGGACGCAAGACCCTTGGAGGCCGTCGCGGAGGTTTTTTGGGCGGCGGAAAGGCACTCTAGAAAAGGCGCGCGTCCTTACGATGCGCGCTGACTGCAGCGGGCGGTAACGGTGCTTCTCTTCCTCCAGTGAGCACGTGTGCTTCCTCTGCGCCCCCGCAAGGGCAGCTGCGGGGTGTCTGGGGCCGCCCTCTGCCTTGAGAAGGGGGCCGCGGCGTGCCTGCCCGGCCGGCGGTAATCGGCCGCGCCTCGGGCCCATCGGGTCGCACTGCCCCTCGGCAGTCGCAATCGCAACAGAACGGGGCGGCGAGCACAACACAAATTGCAAGCAACAAGTGAAGGCAGCTCAAGCCTACCGTGTAGAGAGAGAGAGAGAGGGAGGGAAGGAGAAAGAGTGAGAGAGAGGGGGAGAGAGAGAGGCCTGGGTGCCTAAGGGCTGCCTGACCGAAAAAAGGGCGGTCGGCAGCAGTGTCACGAGGGGCGGGAAGGGGTCCTCCACTCCCACGCCCCCGATGTGACCACTGCCCCTCGGCTGTGCGCTCGATCGCTCCTCTTCCGCCCTACTCCCCTTACGAGAAGGAGTATATAAACAAAAACTGCGGTCCTCCCCTCAGGCGTTCGTCGCTCCGCGCGGATATCTTGGATCGGCACCCGGGAAATCCGCCCGGGGCGCCAACAAAAATATGTGTATGCAATGCTTTCCTCTTTGATGTATACCAGCTCCTCCACATCTGTGCTCCGTGGTGTTGCGCTGTGGCAGCACCCTCAACAGAGAGTGTCTAGTTCTGACTAGCAGCGCCAGATACTGGCCCTCCGATTTTGAACATAGTTCTACGACCCTGGAAGCGCACGTCTAGCCGCGACCCACGTGCGTCTGTCAGGAGCCCCCAAGCCCAACGCACTGTGCGCGCTCGTGGATTCATGGGTCGGCCGGGGAGGTGCGTTGTAGGTTCGTAAGGCGATCGTCCAAACCGAACACAGACGAGAAGAGGAGAGAACATTGGGGGTGGAGAAGAGAAATCCCAAGTCGACCCCTGTGACAACATTGGACCAATTTCGATCGTCCCGGTGGGCCTCGTACAGCATCGCGGTGCACATCTCGATGCCGGAGAAGTTCTGCGCCAGCTTCTCGCGGATAACGGGCTGCTCAGACAGTGCCTTGCCGAACACCTTGGCAGGGAGGGGGGGGGCGAGTCGGGGAGGAGGATCCTCCATCTCCTCTCCCCCCACTGCTGCTGCTGCTGCTGCTGCTGCTGCTCCTCTCCCCTCCCTCCTTCTCGCCTCCTCCTCCTCCCGGGGAAACCTGGTTGAAGCGAAAAGCACCTCCTCCTCCTCCAAGAAGAAGACCTCACCAAAAAAACCAAAGCCTCAAAACCCTCCCCCCCTCCTCCTTCCTCCCCCCCTCTCTCTCCCCCTCCCCCTCCTCCCACCTCCTCCTCCTCTCCTCCTCCTCTCTCTCCTCCTCCTCATCCTCCTCCTCCTCCCTGCTCTCCTCTCCTCTCCTCCTCCTCCTCCTCCTCTCCCTCCTCCTCCTCCTCTGCTCCTCTCTGATTCTCCCTCCTGCTGCCTCCTCCCTCCTGCCTCCTCCTCCTCCTCCTCCTCCTCTCTGCGCATCGTTGCCGCTGGCGTGGAAAAAACGTGCTCCAAATCGACCCTCATCGCCGATGCATCGGCAATGCCCAGCGAAAGCCCCTGGAAGCCGAAAGCGGCTCAACACCCTTCCGCGCCGTGACATGGTGCTTCACGACGCGAGACGGTGGTCCATCGGCGAGGTGGCCAGCTGACTTCCCCCGCGATCCCTCCTGGCCAAGCGCCGGCCGACGCCCGCGCGCCCGTGGCCTTCCGCTGCATGGACCATTTGAAGACCTCCTCGGTGCAGATGCGGGCGCGCGCCACGCACCCGACGCAGATCATCCTCGCGGGCGCCCGCGGGGGTGAGCCGCACGGTCGGGAACTTTTGCGTAGCATGTCGCGGTGGCGGCTCCGACGACATGCTATGCCCAGCAAGGGCAGCGCGTCGCTCTGCTCCGCGGGGTGGGAGGCCGGGAAAAGCTCGGGACGTGGACGCTTGGGAGCCGAGAGGTGGACAGCGTGTCGCAGCGAAGCGAGGTGGACCAGAGCTGGCGGCGCGACACGCTAGGTTCAAGTTCCTGACCGTAAGCTTGCTTGCGCAAAGCAGACAGGAGGTCCTGGAGGAAAAGGGACTTGCTCTTGTGTCTGCCCTCTTCGGGCTCGCGGGGCCCTCCGCGGGCCTTGGGACCGTCAAAAGCGACTCGGGATGAAGAACTGGTCCTGGAGAAGCCCACAGCCCTGGGACCCATCCCCCTGAGGAGCACTTGCCTCCATGTCGAGCTCTGCCCTCGACTCGTCCGACTGGGGGTGGCGGAGGCGTGCGGGCGTCCTTGAGAAGATCTGAGCGCTGTTCTCTGCTCCTTCTGAACCTCCAGAGGCCGAAGGGGCCCGTCGGGAGGCCGAGGGCCCAGGGCGCGATCTGCAAGATTGCTGGCTTCGCGTTCTTGGGCCCCTCGCATGATGGCCACTCCTCATCGTCCCCGCCTCCGTCCTCCTCATGCTCGTCCTCCTCCTGCTCGTCCTCCTCCTCCTCCTCCTCCTCCTCCTCCTCCTCCTCATCATCATCATCATCATCATCATCATCATCATCATCATCATCATCATCCATTCCTTTTCCTGAAACACAACTTCTCTCTGTTGCACCCCGAGGCCAGTTTTAGGGCGGGCTGGGCGTTTCGCCTGAGACTTCCTCACCATTTATGACCCTGAAGCTTGAACGTTGACAACAGTTTCACAGGTGGAGGACGGGTGGTTTTCAAAATGTGGCTTTCGCCGTAGCGCCGTGCACATTCCTTTGGAACGTTTGCAAGAGTTTCGCGGATTGAAGGCGGGTCGTTTTCAAAATGTGGCTCGCGCCTCAGCGCCGCGCACATTCGTTATTCGCCGGCCCAACGGGCCAAAGGCGTGCTATGATCTCTGGTGACTGGTTAACAATATGTCTAATTCGCGCGCGCGGGGCCGCCCCTGGGGGTCACCGGACGAAAAATACCCTGGCGAGGTCCCGGCAAAGTCCCGGGCAGGTCCTGGGCAGGTACCGGGTACGTCCCGCCAGGACCCAGCACGCTCCCAGGAGCGCTCCAGGAGCGCTTCAAGTGGACGCCAAGAGAGCTCAACATTGTCCGGGACGGCCCAAGAGCGATCCAAGACGCCAAAGATGGCCTCCAGAAACCATACAGCGCCTTCAAGACGCCCCAAGAGGCCTCCCAGAGACCTCCCAAGAGGGCCCACAGAGGCAGAAATTAGTGATTTTCCTAAAGTTGTTGAAAGGTAAGGGCGTTCTTGCATTTTGGGCTTACTGGCGCTCCAAGACGGTCCAAGAAGCTTCCAGGATCGCCCCAACACGGCCCAAGAGGCCCCAAGACAGTCCCAGAGGCCTCTAAGATAGCCGAAGAGGCTCCCAAGACGGCTCCAAGAGCGGGCCCAGACGAGGGACCCGAACGGACATTTCGAGCTCTAGGCGCAGAGAGGTCCCCTGGAGGCCCCAAGAGGCCCCCAAGAAGCCCCCAAGAGGCCCCCGAGAGGCCCCAAGAGACCCCCAAGAGACCCCCAAGAGGCCCCCGTGACGCCCCAGGAGGTCCCAGAAATATTGCCAAGAGGCCCAAAAAGGGGCTCCAAGAGGCCCCCAAACGGCCTCCAAGAGGCCACGAACGCGCAGGCAAACGCTTGTGATGGCTCAGTGCTGGGCGGCGGAGTGAGCGAAGCGAGTCAACAAAAAATTGCAAGAGCTTCGCAGATTAAGGGCGGGTCGTTTTCAAAAAGTGGCTCTCGCCGTAGGTCCGCGCACACCCCTTAAACAAATGCACAACGAATTTTACGATTTGAAAGCGGGTCGTCTTCAAAATGTGGCTCTCGCCGTAGCGCCGCGCACATGTCTGTCACAAGTGTACAAGAGCTTCACAGATTGAGGGCGGGTCGGTTTCAAAATGTGGCTCTCGTCTAATCGCCGCGTACATGCGTTTTAGAACTTCCCAAAAGTTTCACGGATTTCCATGATCAACATACCAGAAACTGCGTTTTGGAAAGATTCAGGATCATGAGAGTGCAACAAATACGTTGAATCGCGGTGATGAAGTCCCAAGAATGACGTTCTGTCACGATTCAGGATCGTCAAAACGCAACCGTCAGGATGATCCGTGGCGTTGGAGTCCCGAGAACAATGTTTTGGCATGCTTCGGGGTCTTCAAACGGTTGTCCTCCAACGAGGCAGTTCCCTCAGTGGACATGAACCAGTGCAGGGGCCTATGGAGGGGGAGCTTGGAGGGGGGGTGTATTCCAACGTCGTTGAGCACTCTTGGGTTTACACTGGTCCTCCTCCTCATCCTCGTTCCTCCCCCTCCTCCTCCTCCTCCTCCTCCTCCTCCTCCTCCTCCTCCTCCTCCTCCTCCTCCTCCGTATCATCGAGGGCATCCTGGCGCAGCGACGGCCCCGTGCCTAGCAGCTGCACTCGCCTGGGAAAGCACGACATGCTTATCGTCAGGGGCTTCGCTCCAGAGCTGCCCCTCCTCAAGCCTTGCACCTGCTGGCAGGAGGAGCGAAGGGGACCAGACTTCCCAGCGACCAAGCACCAAGCAACTCTGCGAGGAAAACGCTGAACTTCAGAGACTGCCTTCAGACGCGCGCAAGCGGAGACTCACGACCGCGCAAGTAGCCACTCGTGTACCTGCCAGCGTGTTCAGGGGCCCGACTGTGACGACTTTCAGGCCACAACTGGGGCCCGAGGCCAGCACCAGAACGATTCCGAGCCGGGGCCGGGGTGCGCTCGGACGGGGCTCGGGCCCAGCACGGGGGAGAACAGCCTAAGAAAGTTCCGTAAGTGCGGTTGCCTTCGCAACCAAGGCGTTAATGAGGGGGAACGATCAGTGGGGACTGGGTCAGGGTGGGGGAAGTTTCATTGGATTTGGCGATGGATCGCCGAAGGATCAGCGCGTTTCCACCTCTTTGGCTCAGTGCCCTCCTGACGTTGTCCCTGAGTGAGGAAGGACTTCGACGTCTTGCTGGTGCTGGCCACCGCGTTTGCCCGCGCTGACTAGAAAGCCTCGTCGCTTTGAGAATTGCTGGCACCTCGGATCGAGGCTCTTGCGGCATGACCATTGTCAGAGCGAAGGCCGTGGACCACAAGCAGGCGGGCGGCGATCGCGAGACGCGTCCCGAATGGGGTACTTCGCCAACAGCTTGTCATCCACACATGGATCGGGGCGTCATCTACGCGCGTGCGGCGCAAAAGGAGCTCGTACTTCTCGAGCCAGATCGACCCGTGAGGGCTCTAAGGCCCGAATCGAGGCAAAGCGCCAGTTACCCCAGATGTCAGCGATGGAAGTTGGAAGCCGAAGCGATGGAGGAGGTTGGAAGCCGCAGACCCAAGCTCCAACTATTTGATCTTTTTGACTCGCTGCCTCCACCCATACCTCTCGACCCTCGCCATCGCTTGGACGTCCATTCCTCGTGCGTTTCTCGGCTTCGTGCGCGTATGTCTCTCGCAGGATGACCCACATGTTCCTCGATGGTTCTTGTCTAAAAAAAACCGACACGTCCGAGCGCTGCCAAGGACCTTTTCCCTGGGACAGATGGTCAACGACGGGCCCTTTTTTGGGGGGGGCGTCCTGGGGCCGAGAAGCACAACCTCCCCGGCGCCAGCCCATCCCGAGTCGCCAGACGGTCCAAACTCTGGGCCTCGAAGCAAGTCCTTCGGACCTCTCCCTCCCTCCCTCCTTCCCTCCCTCCCGTCCGATCGACCAGGACGGGGTCTCATTTTGCGGGTTTGCTAGCTCATGGGGCCTCTTGAGGCCTCGCGCCATATATCCCCGTGGAATCTCATGGGGCCTCGGGTATCCTGATACTTCCCGAGGCCTCCTGTTACCTCCTGGGACCTCCTGGGGCCTTCTGGAGCTTCCTGGGACCCGCATGGTGCTTCCTGGGACCTCCGGTGGTTTCGTGGGACCTGGGGCATCCTGGAGCTGGCTGCTGCTCGCGGGACCTCTTCCTGGGGAAGGAGACGAGATAATGGCGAGGGCCCTCGACGTCATCGCCATCGTCGTTGTCGTCGACGTCGTCGCCATCGCCATCGTCGATGCCATCGTCGTCGTCGTCGTCGCCGTCTCGGCCGTCGTCGCCGCGTCTACACAACCACGACGACCCCATGGGACACGAGGAGGGTGGTGACAGGAGGAGTTCCCGCGGGCCCCGCCAAAATATGTCCCCCAATAAGGGCGGGACCCCCCGGGCCCATTGTCGCTGCCGCCGGGGAGCGGTCGTTCCGTAACTGACAGAAGCCCATTATGTATTCTTGTCGGGCCATCCGGAACCGCGCCAAACAGCCAAGACCTAAATAATTTGTCTGTTGCCCCGCCAATTCTGGACACATGTTCGACGACCCTGGGCCGCCCCGACTATGTAGAATCATCCCGAAACCTCAAACTCCTGCATGGTTCAGGACGGCCCCACGGGAAATACACATAACTATGTTGTGAAACATGATGGTACTGATATGAATAATACCATCACGTATCGCTACTACTATTCGTACCACTAATATATATGTATGTGTATATATATGTATAATCACATGAATACATATATATATATATATATATATATATATATATATATATATATATACATACACATATATAGATACACATACCACGCACATATGTGTGTATGTTTGTATGTATGTATGTCTGTATGTATATATATACACATATATACAAACAAACGATCGGCGCCCGGAGAGGGCTCTAGTATGCTCCGCCCCCCCCCCTAAAAAAACGACATCTGCGCATAACTCCACCGCCAGAGCCGGTAGGCCTTGGCCCGAACGACCGTTCGGGGCTACCCGAGGCGTCG